TCATATACGTTTATTTTAATACTTCGAATGTAACATCTTAAAGCCTTTAGTTAGTTGGTGTACATTTGAAAATGCATGAAAATATAGTTTGCTTTGGTTGGATTATTATCTTATATAACATAGTTTGGTCTAAACGGTGTAAGAATAAAGTTAAGTAATTTTAGCCAAAGCTTTTTTAATTATCAGTTAAGAGATCAGTTTTTCATTTAAACAATTTTAGATAAACTCAACAGATTTGTCTATTTTTAATGATTAAATCTCTGAATTTTTTATCACAATACTGTAACTAGTTACTTGATGACGTCTTTTGACCAAGATTGGTTATAACCAATTAAAGTGGACCTAACCTTAAGGACATAAACGAGGCCAGTAAGGACCCGTACCACTTATGTCATAACTAGTTACTTGCTGATACTTTTCTACCAAGATCGGTAATAACCGATTAAACTAGACCGAACCGTAAGAACAATAACAGATCAATTAGGTAGCGTTTGATACGCAAATATKATTGGATTGGATTGGATAGGACAAGTGTCTGTCTAGTGTTTGATACGACTAGGACTGGCAGTAGTACAGAACTAGACAATTTGCCTCCAAAAATAATTTGGTGATTTTATATATCATATAATAGTTACAATTGACACAAATAAAATAAATGATTAAAAATTTAATTTATAAACATTTTTACACAATTTTCATATACATACATATATAATAGTGGTGGTGGCGATGGTCGGTGGTAGGCCTACAGTGGTTGTGGAGGATGTGAAGATGGTGAATGATGGTGATGGCAGTCGACAATGGTGGATGAGGTAATTGTAGCCGATGTAGTGGTGGTGATGGGCAGTAGTTGTGGTAGCCGAGGGGGGTGGTGGTGGTGGTGGGTAGTAATTGTGGTAGTTGTGGTAGCCGAAGGTGGTGGTGGTGGTGGTCATGGTGGAGGTGAGGTGGCCCACAGTGGAGGTGGTGGATAGTAGTCGTGATGGCCAAGAACGGTGGGGGTTTGTGACTAACAGTGGCTGTAGAGATGGTGGAGGAGGTTGTAGCAGCAAAGGATGAGGTGACCGACAGTGGTGGTAGTAGTAATGGTGGTCAGTGGCCGATGGTGGTTATGGAGGAGGCAATGGACAGTTGTGGTCAATTGTCGACATTGGTTGTGAACAAGGGTGCTCATGGGTTTGGTTGATCGGGTTGAAGACACTTGAATACCCAACCTAATGCTTGCGGTATGAAAAATCTTAACTCAACCCAGCCCAAACCGAAATATCAACCCAACCCAACAAGGGTGCTCATGGGTTGGGTTGATCGGGTTGAAGACACTTGAATACCCAACCTAATGCTTGCGGTTTGAAAATTCTTAACCCAACCCAGCCCAAACCGAAGTACAATCCAACCCAAACCCAAACCGTACGGGTTGGTCGGGTTGATACTTTGGTACATTAAAATGTTCTTCTAACTTTGAATATGTTATTTCTCTCCTCATAATTTATTTTTCATCATCAACCATTTGATACAACTTATTCATACTTCTCAAATCTTACGTATATCACATTCAATTAATTTTCTCAATTTACATATATATGTCCATAGTTACTGAATATATTATACGAAAGAGTTATATAAAGATGAATAATAGATTGAAAATATGTATATATGAAGAAGGTACGTAATAGTATAATTGTCTAATGTATATATTAATAGAAACTCAACAATAATATTAAAACCAAGAAGTACAAGGATATCGTGTTCATCGGGTTGGATTGGATTCAAATAATAGTAACCCAATTTCAACCCAATACCTACGGTTTGACAATTTTACAACTCGATTAAAACATCAGGTTGCTTCGATTGAGTTATTTCGTATGGGATTGGGTTGATCAGGTTGGTCGGATTTTTGAGCACCCCTAGTTGTGAAGGTGGTGGAGGAGGTTGTTGTCATGGAAGAGGAGATGGCGGTGGTCGACGGTGGCGAACTAGCGGTGGTGACCACCAAAACAAATATCATATTAAGGTTATATATCAAATGATGATAGATTAGTAATTCTTAGTTTTTGTCTCGTTCTTATCCTATCTTGTTCCACCTATTTTTATGGAACAAAATTTGTGTCTCACCTTGTCCCAGTTCTTGTCGCATAAAAATGGGACAATAAGTTCTTATCCTGTCCGATGTCGCACCAAACGTGGGACAGTGAGTTCTTGTCACGTCCTATGTACCAACAGCAGCCCTAAGGAAACGGGATCAAGACTGCTTATAATATAACTAGTTACATGATGGCAATTTTTGATCAGGACCAGTTATAACTGATTAAGAGACCGATCTATCACCGGTTTCCGCAAACGCATAGTAAAATCTGTCGTTGTAGAAAGCAACAGATGCAGACCGAGCATCTACTCATGGTCGGAATATCAAGTACCGTATTCATAATCTTCTATAAGCCCCACGATCATTTTCGTCTGATTTCAATCAAACTTACCGACATAAATTGATCAAATTCACGATATAAGAAAAGACGTTTCATTAAGACTTGGAATTGTACACACATCGGTCCATTAACGTTAGGCCAGACTCAACAATCTTACATCTAAAAACCTCGTCCCGACGCAATTGCCAAACCACGACTCGATTCGACTCGCACAGAGATTAAAACACGACACCATCACAGAACATATACAGATTTATAGACACGATGAAACAAAATGTAATATAAACCACGATCAACAAGAACCAATAAAACGCTAAACGAAGGACTGACCCTTGCTTTTCACTGGCAGAATTTTAGTGTCGGGTGACTCTGCATATGATATCGAGATCAACTCAGCCCGACACTTTTCCTTTTTGTCAATATTTGCAGCATCTGCGACATTTTCCAGATTGTTCGAGATTCTGGGCAGGTCTTTCAATGGAAAGTGTTTATCGGGAAGAGAATACGAGATTGCGATTAGTGACTCCCGTGTCAAGTCCTCAGAAACGTTACTTCCGACTTCTCTCTTAGCCATAAAACAGAAACTCCTGCACCATATTGCAAAAGGATCCAACAGAAAAGCATCACTAACGGAAATATGATACTCGATTTTGGGTAAAAACATAAACCATCAAGTTGTGGCATCATTTCATTCCGTCTGATAGACCGAACATACAGCTAGGCTAATCTACGGCTAGATAAACACAGAGAAATATATAGAAGGCTTATCTAGCTCGTTTCAAGATGTTCTAAAGCCACATCGAATTAAAAGACGTAATCCTGAAAAACATAGTATATCCCACACTAAGGTAGGGTGGGTAGGATGTAACAGACCTTACCTCTACGCAGGGGGTAGAACAGAAAAGAGGTGATTCTAACATAGTGCAAAGATATTACAGGCTACTTGAAACAGTCTTCCGCTATTGTTCACTTGTTGTCGAGTGCCAGATCTTTCCTTTTGTAGAAAGCTGATGACCTAAGTACCCTTAAACTATAAACCAAACCAAACCAAACTAAACAAACAAAGTATGTCCCACCGGAAGGTAGGGTCTGAGGTAAAGAGATATGCAGACTTTACAGCTGTCCCACGAGACAAAAAACAGATCCATAACCTAGAAGTTCTAGCTATCAAGAGTGGAGGTAACTTTATGGATATCAACTTAGAGTTGGGTTCCGGTGAGAAGGAGAGTTAAGGTGAGAATCTTAAGAAGGGATCTCCATCCTTGGATGCAAATTAGGATGAGATGCACCGGATCAATCCCCATATCAAGAGCGATTCATGGGTGGGTTTGAGATTAAAGGTGATCAAGGGTCCAGATCCTTTCTTACGCTTCTTACTTTAACTCTCCTTCTCACACGATCCTTCGCCTATCAACTTGAAGGAAAGTGCCAACAAACTAGAGACCTATTAGTCCATGCTAGTAAAAATCAAATGAACCCAGTGAATCTCACACAGAGTGGGAATTGGGCCCGAGGGATAGAGAGGCTTTTTCCATGAAGAACTGCAGCTTGTAAAAAAGTGTAGAGAAAAGGGACCTCCAACCAAAAAAGTTTCCAAAACATTTGAAAAAGAGGAGACTGATGAAAGACAATACATGAAAGAAACACAGGTAAGGATAGTCGAAGAAAGAGTAGAATGGAAGAATAAAAAAGCACCCAAAGACAATAAAGGCCTACTAGAAGATACGCAGCCACTAAACAAAGGGTGCAGAATGGTTGACTCTCTAACTTCCCGTCTAGGCTTTGGGCACAACCCGTGGCTGGCCAAGTCCCGATTGCCTAACACAAACTATCCCTAAAGTTACAAATATTCAAGAATCTAAGACTAGCAATCTAACATTCTAACTAAGTATAAACTACATTTTAAAACAGTCTTCCACTTCCTTTCTTATTCCTGCAATCTTCGGTTCCCTATTTTCCAGAAAAGATCATCACATAAGCAACCAGAATCTATTCAACATATTAAACATAATTTGTCCTTTGTTCATGTTTCTAAAATTCACTTACACATGTGAACAAAGTAAGAAATTTCATTTTCTTACTCTAAGGTAAGAATTGAAAGGTCAATGTATATTCTCACATCTAAATCTCCATTTGTATAAAAAAAGTCAACCCACAAGAAGTTTGAGAACATAGGCTCTTATGTTCTGCGTCCATGGCATCTCCCTTAATTCTAACTCAAACTACGACTAAAGAAGATGGCGAAGGTGGGATGGTGGTAGTGATAAATAAATAATTCTCAGTTCTCAAGGAATCTCTCTTCCAATATTCAATGATAACACCAAGTAAAGTTAAGATGCTTAGAATACCAAGGAGCGTTAAGATGATAATTAGAAAGTATTGATAGATTATCTAGCCAACGTTCTATGTCAATAAACCACGATCCTACATTTAATAGATGACACAGTTTGGGTGTTACCCCCTGCAGACCAAGGATCCTCCCATAGAATAAGATGCTATATTCTAATAGATTAGGAAATTCAAACATATAACTGACACCAATAAGCTAAAATGTATTTCATTATTCAAGAGGGGATATTTATACTAAAATCCAATAAGCACTAAACTTGCCACCAACAATATTGCACAAATAAAACACAAAGTACTACAACTCATATTTGTAGCTCTTGCAAACAAAAGAGTAGACCCTAAGAGTTTTCTCATTCCAAGAACGGGCCAAGTACACAAAAACAAGATGGTCAAAGAGCCTCAAAGTCTATTCTGCCCTATTTATTTAATTTCTCATTTTCATTTCGTGGGTCTGAAGATGAATGGAAATCAGACCACAAAATGGAGATGAGAAATTGAAGGTAATTGAACTTTTAGCATTCTCAAACTTTACAATAGCTAATGAATGAGATGCCAATTGCCAAAAGCATACTTAAACTTCATCTTCTTGCACTCTTATTATACCAACAAAATCGATAAAAAAACCTTATCAACTGAGGCCAGCTTCTTTAGGAGTCTTTGCAACAATAGAGAGTGCATGCAAGCCAGATTCAAGCTCCTCTGCCAATGCATCATAAACCATCCGGTGTCGCTTAACGAGATTCTGCCCATCAAACTTACCTGAGACCACCTTCACATTGAAATGAGTTTCACTTGCATTGTCCTTAACAGCAGCATGGCCTGCGTGCTGATACGATACGTCTTCCACTTCCAAAATCTTTGCTTCTAGAGCTGATTGAAGCTTTGACTTGATCCTACTCGCCCTCGACAGCAATACACTTGTTCCTCGCGAACCCATGTTTTTTATTGTTTGCCAATTAACTGTAGGAAAAGAATCTTTCACTACTTACTTTACCTTTACCAAGTCCCTAGAACAAACCAACCCATTGATACCAATGGAGCTCAAAACCTTTTTAATCGCAAATAAAAACAACACAACTGTTCAATCCACAATAAGATGAATAAATCTAGACCAATCCATCAATTTATATAATTCTACACAAAAATTGAATTGTTTAACAGCAATGTCCTTTTTAATTTTTTTCCAAATTAGTAATGAAACATGATTCTATTCATCATATTTTGTGCCCCAAAACGAATCAATTCAAGCATAGATCATGCGAAACCATGAAAACAATAAATTCAAGCAGAATACCATTCGAAACCATAAAAACCCTAATAACAAATTACCAACAAACTATATAAATCAAACGCATACAAAGAACTTCTAATCGCCAACTCATCAGATGCAATTCCATAGAATAACTAGAATAAAAGAAATTCGAATTTAAATTCGAATTCGAATTTGTATCATACAGAATCAAAACAATCATTTATGGAATTTAGAAATAAAATCAAAACAGTAAACAAGATCACGTTCTAATACAACCAATATCATTCAAGAATTACGGAAATTTACTGGGATAAAACTCAGATTTAAACAGGAAAAACGTTAGGTAAGGTACCTTTTGTGCGATTGCTTTCTTGTTCCTTCGTTTTCGTATCTCCTGCTTTGGTTTTTGTCTATAAATAATGAAATGGGGTTTTGGTGGATAAGAGTTGATGACGTGCGCGACATTTTGCAAAGCCCAAATGTGGTGAAACTTCTCACCGTTCATGGAGGATGGAATTTGGGTTCCTACTTCCTACCACCTAATTCGGATGTTGGGCTTTTCAACTGGGCTAAGCTTATGTTCGTTCATTTTAGATGCTCTCCTGATTAAAATAACAAATGAATGTTAAGCTCACGGTTGTTTTTTTTTTTTTTTTTTAGTGATGCTGAAATCTGAAGTTTTATTTCACTGCTGACTGATAGAAGATGATATTGAATTCAAAAATTTGAATCAATATGACTGATTGTTTTCTAACCCAACAAATATTCGAATTTGTTTAAATTGTCTATTTTACACATTAGAAAATTATAGTGTTGAATTTGTATATAAATTTATACAATTTCACATATTTATTCATCATCGTTATAAAATTTACATCTAAATTATATAATAAGCATTCAGTTTAAACAAAAACATTGACGATGTTTAACAAATTTAAATCATATTAAAATACATCAATTGAGAGAGGTGAAGATCGATTTGTTAAGGATCAGTTAAGGTTAATCGATTGAGAAATGTATTTGATGAGGGTCTGGAGAACAATAAAAGGCAAATAAGAGAACAATAAGACATAAGTGTCTTTGAAAAATTGGAAAAAACAAACGGTCTGAATAGTTTATGTATTATCTTTTTCAATTTTTCTAATAGTTGATAATATAGTAATCATATGAATTCTTAAAGTATAGTGGAAAGTCACGCACCTAATAACTCGACATAGATAAGATGGTTCGGTTCATCCGAAGGAGGTCGATATTAGATGCCATACTCAAGAATCAAGAATCAAGATCACTACCATTACTTTAGAGTTTAAGAAGAATTCGTTATTTTGATGCTTTACGGGTTCTTTTCGTTTCATCCACTTTCATTATATTTGTAGCATCATCCAATTATTTTTATGTTCATATTACTTGTCATCAATGTCAACTCGATTCTGATTGGATGAGTTTCTCTTTAGACTTTGTCTATGACGGACCGTCAAGGACATTGTCATAGTCGATGTCCATTGCATCGTTCATTAGATCCTTTTCTTAAAAAAGATTACAAAGATTGAAGTCTAGGAGAAAAAATTTGGAAAATCGATGGTGCATTGGACATCAAATAGGGATTTCAAAGGGATGGAGGACCTTTTTTTTTTTACCAATGGATATCTTTTCTAAGGGTAAAATTATCTTATATTTAGGTAAAACTCTTAACTTTTAAGAGTATAATATCTATGAAACAATAAATACAACTCATTAATTTATTTCGTTTGTTGAGAATTGTTTTAATAAAAGCATGAAATCGCAGAGTTGGCATGACCGAGGTAGGTCGAGCCATCGTGATATTTAAATAAACAAATTACATGGACCTTAACTCAGACTAAATCCCCTTGTCTCTCTTATGAATTGTCGAATCACTCAGACTAAATCCCCTTGTCTCTCTTATGAATTGTCTCTCTTGACACCTAACATGGGAACTAGAACCCCAAATCTATACAACCCAAATAATCGAACCATAAAACATTCTTCATTCACAAAGGTCTACCAAGATGGTACACCACCAACTCACAACACAGTGATACCTAGGTCGCCCATCAATTCCGATCAATCCATAGGCACATAATCCCATACATTTTTTCAATATGCGAATACCAAGCTGAAAGGATTTCCATTTAAATAACTGGATAACACATAACACTAATATCTCAATTTCAAACTAGCACTGGACCCTTAAGATGAAATCCTAATATTTAAAACCAACCTTAAGCCGATCGTTCGACAATCTCAACTCTCATGGACATGGTGTACCGTTATCAATTATATCATATTGAGACAGTCAATTTACTTCGATGTTCTGGAAGAGTTTTTTCATCGAGAGATGGGGTCACTGGTAAAGTTAAATGTAATAGTCTGGTTTTTTTTTTGTTTTGTTATGTATATATTTATTTATAAATATATATATATATATATATATATATGATATATGTGTGTAATATGGAAATGTGTGTGTGTGTGTGTGAATGTGGGAGTATAAAAATAAAGAAAGAAGGGAGAGGGGTCGGCTAATTAGCCGCCTCTCAATTTCGTTGTGAGTGTGTAAGTACATAAAGAAATTGTGAAGGAAAAACACATACAACACACACTTTCTATATTTAGAATTCTCTCTCAATTTTTGAAGAGTCGGCACAAGAAGAAGAAGAAGGATTTAAAAGCTTTGGTTCTCAATTGCTAAAGGTGAGTGTATTAAAAGCTTTGAATATGAATTGCTTTCATACAAATTGAAAAGCATTTAGATCTGATTATTATGAGTTTGGATGCATTTTATGAAGATGCTTGTGTAAACCGGCTAAGTGGTGTCCGGATCGTAATCCGGATACTTAAACCTGATGTGCTTTGTCCGGATATCTATTAAACCGGACAAGAAGTGAACGGATTATGTTTTAAACCGGGCAAGAGGTGACCGGATAATGTGTAAACYGCTYRAAGAATCAAGTGATGTATTGACCGGATTGCTAAACCGGTCAAGAGTTGTACGGTGTGTTGACCGGTTTATATTAAACTGCTCAAAGGTTAAATGTGTATTGATCGGTTTAATCTAAACCGGATGACAAGGAAAGTGAAGTGGTGTCCGGATTTGTAAACCGGACAAAAATGTTATATTTTCAAAGTGTTTGACCGGATTTCTAAACCGGATAAAGAGTTGGTTTATTTTCAAGTGTTTTGATCGGACTTCTAATCCGGACAAGTTTGACCGGACTGCATATCCGGATAAAAAATGAGTTTTGAGAAATGTTTTTGATATGATATTTTGGGCAGTGTAACTGCGATGGTGGTGTAACCGCGAGAGTGTTATGAGCAGTGTAAACTGCGTGTGAGATGGCGGTGTAACCGCGAGAGTGTTATGAGCAGTGTAAACTGCGTGTGAG